AGGAAACACCAAAGGCACATTTTAATGGATTCATTTTTAGCTGGTACTTGCGAAGTCTCTCAAACACAACTTTCAAGTCATTGAGGTGGTCATCACGTCTCTCAGATTTAACAACCAAATCATTGACATAACATTCAACCAGCTTATGCAACATGTCACTAAAAATCATTTGCATTGCACGCTGGTAAGTGGCTCCGGCATTTTTCAACCCAAATGGCATAACTTTATAACAGTAAATACCCTTTGGTGTTCGAAAAGCTGTAAGCTCTTCATCCTTAGGATCCATGCGAATTTGGTTGTAACTAGAAAATCCATCCATAAAGGACAAAACTTCATGCCCCATGGTTGCATCCACCATAAGCTCTATGATCGGAAGTGGAAAATCATCTTTTGGGCACGCTTGGTTTAGATCACGAAAATCTACACATACCCTGAGTTGTCCATTCTTTTTACGAACTGGAACAATGTTCGCAATCCAGGATGGATAATGGACCTCCCGAATGAAGCCGGCTTCAATCAACTTATCAACCTCAGCTTCAATTTGTGGGATGATTTCTGGACGAAAACACCGCTGCGATTGCTTCACTGGGCGTACCCCATGCTTCACGACTAGACGATGAACAGCTACTTTTGGGTCTAAGCCTGGCATCTCTTTGTAAGACCATGCAAACACATCCTTGTACTCATCAAGTAGTTGCACATATCTTACTTCTTCCTCCAAACTCAACGATGCACTAAGAAAAATGGATCTTGGATCATCCTCTGTACCCAAGTTCCGTTGCTTTAGCTCGTCAGTAGTAGCTTGTCCCCCCTCCTCACAAGCTTCTGGGGCTGGATTTGGTTCTTCATCTGAAGAATTAGAGTCGAAAATTTTCTCAATTGAGACATGGTTTGATTCAGCTGCCTTTTCCTCTTCAACGGAAGGCTTTGAGATCTCTTGCCCATCAAGGACGTCTTTACGTCTCCATTGATACTTCTTTCTTTGCATAGACTTGATCTTGTTCTTCTGAACTTTCTGACTCTTAGATGTTTTCTTTCTGTTTTGCTGCCTAGCACCAAGTCTAAAAAAGACTGAAGGCTTTTGAGAATGATTCTCTTGGATTGTCAATAGTGAAGGAGCAGGCCCTAGTCTTTCAAAAACTGACACTCGGATATTTTCTTGCTGAATCCTTTCCAAGGCTAAAACTCGTAGTTGTGGAGTCCCTTCAACCTCGTTGGTTTCAAAAATCTGGATGGTTATTGGATTTGCTTACTTCTTTTTTATCTTGATCTTTGCAGGTTTAGATGATTGAAATCCAAGCCCATGCCTCTGCTTTGGCACAGGTTCTCCTCTCAACATGGCTTCCTTCCCAGTTTGGGTTGCTTGAGTACTGGTGAGGATAGAGTTCAAATCCCCAAGTTGCCGAGACTCTCCTTCTTTGAAGCCAGCCCTTTTTAGCAACATTTGAGCACGAGGATCAAACCATCCTTGAGGTTGCTTTTCATGTTCTATGGCTGTTTCAACCATTTCTTTTATAACTGGATTAGAAATGCCCAATTTAGAGAGTGTAGAAAATGGAAGCACAAGATCTTCCTTGAGCACCTTCACATCCTCTATTGAAAGATGAACTTCAGAACTTGAAGATGGATCTTTTATAGGGCGAACAAAAATTTTTCCGTCATTCTTTTGTTTTATTTGTGGCATCTTGATAGGAAGAGCTTCAAAATCATCTTCTTCCTTTTCATAAAATTTGGCATCGGCAAAATAGGACTCTTCTTTCGTGAAAGGCTCTTTCTCAGCCATAACACATTTTGTTTTGCCATCAGAATGATATTTAAAACATTGATGCCAAGTTGACGGAACCACCCCATTTTCATGAATCCATGTTCGTCCTAAAAGAAGCTCATATGATGTTTTAGCCTCTATGACATGGAACAAAGCTGAGGTTGCCATGTCTGCGATTTGGAAATTGATGCAGATCTTGCCAATTGCACATTGGCCCTTTTGGTTAAAGCCTTGGATTAGGAGTTTACTGCTAGTCAATTCATCGACAGTTATCCCTATCCTCTTCATGATGTAAATTGGCATTATGTTGACAGCAGATCCATCATCAATCAAAATTCGATTCACTTTGTGATCTCAAACAATACCACTCACATAAAGAGGCCTGTTATGTTTTTGGATTCCAAGTTGCAGGTCTTCATCTGTGAAGGTTATTGTTCCAAAACACCCAGCCTTAGTTTCTGGCTGGGCCAACTCACCTTGGAACTTTTTCGAGTCTAACAAAGCTTGTACAAGAGCAAGGCGTGTGTCCCATGAAAGCTGCAAGGCTTTGGATAACTGTAAATCAGATGGAAGTTGCTTCAATTTCTCTATACTTCCATCAGCTTCGGGATCATTTGATTGGCTCTTGGAACCCTCAGCTTCTTCTTTAGATGATGGTTTGTTTTCTGTCTTGAAACTTGTGACAATAACATATACTTCCTCATCAGAAAAATATCCCTCTGGAAAGTATTCATAAAGAGTAATTGCAGCTCTTTCTTTTGAGTTCATATCTTTCTCAGATAATGACTTTCTCTTGTTAGGAACTTGTCGAAGTCTTGTTTGTAAATCAGACCTCCTTTTCACTACCTGGTGTTGTTCTTGATTTTTTGGTGTTGTTGGCAAAGCTGAAAGAAATGAATGATTTTGTTGGATGGATGGTAGTGTGGGTCTTGAATGACGCCTCCTCCTTCGTGATTGAACTGGAATCCACCCATCATCATCATTGTAAAAGGCAGGAAACTCAGAGTTTGAACACCATCCAGTCGGCTTTATCTCTGGATAGATACCATACATGATTTTATGAGGATCTGGGAGTGGCATTCCACTAGATACTGGATTACGGTGTTTTCTGCTCTTACTAATGAAGGTTGACCAACCATCGCCAACCTCATCTTCAGACTCAGATGATGATTCCCAATCTTCAAGATTCACCGTCATAAGGTCATATAAAGAAAGAGAGCCTGGACCTCCAGAAGTAGGCATGTCAGGATAAGCATAGGCTATCCTTTCTTCATCATCTGTTTGAAATTTAACTTGAATTGCCCCCTTGGACAGGTGGAGGCCAAACTCCTTAGGCTGAACCATTAGTGGGGTTCGTTGCACAGGCAGGAGTGGAACTGGACTGAAGGATCCAAAGGAAACCATGGCAACATTGGTGGTAGCGGAACCTTCTTCACTTTCTAGTTGTATTTTGCCTTCTTTCTCAAGACGAACTATCAAATCTTTCAACACAAAACACTTACCGATTGGATGACTCACAATTCGGTGATACTTACAGTATTTTGGATCATTTACTCTCCCAACTTCCTCTGGGCGCTTAGGAGCTGGAAGTTCAATTAAGTTTAGCACCAACAATTGCTCAAAGATAGCTGGCACTTCAGAGTCTGCAAATGGATACTCCTTTTGTTGCAACTCTTTTAAGGTAGACTTCTTCTTTTGACCCTGATCCTCAACAATCTTGACACCTTGTTTAGGATTTGGCTTTGGTTTTTGTTGTGAGATCTTCACAGGTGCTGTTGTGACTGCCATAGTTTCTTTTGCTTTTGAAGGTTTCACTTCCTTCTTCAAATCTTTTCGAGACTCTTTTTTATCACGAGCGTCTGTTGGAAGAAAGTTGCCATGCCTAGCAATTTGAATTTCCAAGTCATGGGCACGAGTGGCCAATTCTTCAAAGGTATGTGGCATGTTAGCTTGAAGGTTATACAACAATCCCCAATGCATACCTTGCACACACATATCAATAGAAGAGATCTCACTAATCTTTTCTCGATAGTTTAGGACGAGATTCCTCCATCTTTCAATGAAGTCTGTCACAGACTCATCTTTCTTTTGCTTGGTGTTAGCAAGCTCAGGCAGGCTAACAGTGCGCTTGATACTATAAAAACGTGTCAAGAATTCTCGCTCTAATTGGTCCCAACTATCCACTGACCCAGCAGGAAGGTCAGTGTACCATTCAAAGGCTGCGTCCTCCAAGGACCGGATAAACTGTTTCACCATGAGGTCTCCATAAGTGCCAGCATTGTTGCATGTTTCAACAAAATGGGCGACGTGTTGCCTTGGGTTGCCCTTCCCATTGAACTTTTGGAATTTTGGTGGCTGGTAGCCGTCTGGTAGGCTTAGATTATCAATCTTACGAGTATAGGGTTTGGCATACACAAGTGAGGATTGTGAGGTCCCTCCTTGTCGAGCTCGAATCACATCATCAACTAAAAGTTTAAGTTGTGGAAATGTAAGAGATGCCACAGTAGCATGAGCAGTGTCACGGAAAGCACCTTGGAGAATTGTTCGATCTAGTTGCTCTTGCTTTTATTGCTCCAAGCTTTCCTCCAAGGTAACTTGCTTACCCCGATCTGAAGTCCTTAATGAGTCTTCCTTGTTTTCGAGGGCTTTTTCAGCGATTGAGCTTGATGCTGCTTGGTTATTCTGTTTTGATAAGTGTTGAGCCGCTAAAAGTTCTTGGAGTTCCTTGATTTGGGCATCCTTTTCAGCCACAGCTTTCCTTAAGCCTTCCACAGCCTTGAGGAGAGCATCCGAGTCACCAGATGTCGCTTCAGTAACCAAGGCAGGTAAGAGGGACTCAGACGATGATGAAGGATAGTCAGCCCACCTTAACTTCGAAGTAGACACATGACTGGGCTTGAGACTGAGTTCTTCACCTTCACTAGATTCTAAAGAGAAGTACTCGACATCCTTCATAGGCTGGAAAGGTGACTGGATGGCTAACGCTCTTTTTTTCATTGCAGCCTCCTTACGACATCTTCTAGTGAATTGCCTCAAGGGGGAGACCAACTTGGATCTCGTCATGCGCGCTTTGGCACGAGTCAACAAGGAGGATTGATTGGAAAAGATTTGAACTTTTAGAGTTGCAAGAGGAGTTACAGCTTGCTTTGAGTCCGCCATGCCTAGAAAGATATGGTGGAATTTTTCTTCAACTGAAAGATGAGAGGCAGAGATTTCCCCAGTGGAGTCGCCAAAGATGTGTAGTCACAAAATCTGCAAAA